CACCCCTTACCCTTCTTAAGAATAGGGTGAGGTCAACAGTAGACAGTTTAAGGTTGAAGCTGTGAGGGTTTGAGGATATAACAATGGAGTTGGGTAGAGTATTCCAAGCATTAATGTTGCTGAAGTCATATTTTCTGCAATCGAGTTTGGAGCAGTTTACCTTGAGTTTGTATCTATTGTTTGCCTATGTATTATTGTGGTTGAAGCTGAAGTAATCATTGACAGGTTGGACATTGTAGCAGACAATTTTGTGTACTACACTTAGGTCAGACCATAGGTAGCATAGTTCTAGGTTGTCGAAACCCAAAATTTCAAGCCTTGTGGCATAAAGTATTCTATTGTGAGCAGAGGAGTGGAATACTCTTCTCGTGAAATACCTCTGGACTTGCTCAATTATATTAATGTCCAATATACAGTGTGGATTCCAGGCAAATGAGCTGTACTCGAGAACTGATGTGGCAAAGGTTTTGTATGCCCTAGTTAACATAACATTAAATAGTTAATGTAACTGAGGAAGAGGGAGGGGGAAAGTATGTCTTCTACTAATAAAGTTGTAACCATTTTGATATTCATTTGTATAATCTGCTTCAACAAGGTCAGAAAATTTGACTTGACTTATTTGACCTCCTCATGTCAACAGTTTACTCCAGATATTCTTCTTAACATGGATCCATTCCAGTGTTTCCTTCTTAACCAAAGTGCTTTTGTGGTGATCACTGATCAGCTCTATCCTCTCTTGGATGAAACTGATATCTAAATCCTTTTCAGTGTTGTTTTAGATATATCTATAGAACAGGAGCCACTTTGGAGTCTGTAGAAATTCTCAGTCATCCAGATCATGGTTGTCCCAAAGGTGTTTTTTCAGGAGGCAACTGGACTTTCTTGTGTTTTCTTTTGAAGACATTTTGCTTCTCAGCCAAGAGGCTTTTTCAGCTCTGACAGGATAATGGGGAATGGAAGGATTTATATTCCTTGCAGACAGCTGGTCATTTGCATCCTTTTAGAGGGTCATTGAAGCACTTGGAGGTTTTTTTTTTTTTTTAATAATTAAATAATTTTTTATTTGTTTAAAAGTACAAACAAAACAGAACTAGTGACAACAAAACATACAGAACTTTCTTCTTGTTGTTGTTTTTTGAAGATGTTTCGCTTCTCATCCAAGAAGCTTCTTCACCTTGGTCAACCTGTAAGATTACTTGTGCTCAGAAAAATCCAAGGGGACTACAGTCTTGTTAGTCCTTCTGGAGCCCTCATTAGTTTTTGATACACCAGTCATGGTCTATTCCTGTACAGGTAGTCAGAGATGGAATGTAGATCTTGTATTACAGTGGTTCCACTCTTATTTGCAGGATATGGTGCTTGGAGATTATCTTTCTGCCTACTGGCAATTCGGTTATATATTGTTCCATTTTCTCACCTACATTTTTTAAATGTCTACATGAAACCTTTGGGAGAGGGCATTGAGGAATAGGGATGGAGATGTCATCAGTATGAGCTCTATCTATCCTTTTCATCTGAAATATCTGAGGCAGTTTGTCTTCTGAACCAGGACTCAGTAAAGTTAATGGACCACATAAATTGAGAGTTAGTCCAAAAAAGATGGTGATACTGGTTTTGGGTGATACATCTGTCCAGAGAAGTTGTGTGCTCTGTCTGTCCTGGAAAGAGCCACACTCATTCTAAAGGACCAGATTTACAGTTTGGGTCTACTTTTAGATCCATCATTGTCATTGGAGACCCAGGTATAAAATTCTTTTTATCAGCTTCTGCTGATTTACCAACTTTAACATTATCTCAGCAGATAATATCTAACAGTTATTCATTCTGTGTAACTTCCCAGTTGCATTACTGCAATGTGTTGAACAGCGAGCTGTTTTTGAAACCAATAGTCCAGAAGTTCAAAAACAGTCTAGAACAGTTAGACTGCTCATTGGATCTGGCCATATAAGTATATTACGGCAAACCCTCATGATCTATCTGAGGGTTTGAGTCATGGTGAAGCAGTGGTTATAGTGCAATACTGCAGGCTACTTCTGCTGACTGCCGGCTGCCTGCAGTTTGGCAGATCGAATATCACCAGGCTCAATGTTGACTCAGCCTTCCATCCTTCCGAAGTGGGTAAAATTATTGGGGGCAAGAGGCTGACTCTGTAAACTGCTTAGAGAGGGCTATAAAGCACTGTAAAGCGGTATATAAGTTTAAGTGCTGTTGTTATTACTACTGGTCTGCTTCGGAAAGTAAATCAAAGTTCTGTTTTTGACCTTTAAAGCCTTAAATGGCTGGGAACCAGGCTTCTTGGAACCAAGTTACTTCTCTTATATGTATGTACCTGCTCTGTGAAGATGAGGCTCAGTAAATGAGATTGTCAGGGTTCCAAGTAACACCCCCAACAAAATAAAACTCCGAGGCTCGAGTTTCCTCAAAGCTACATTTTATTAGCGATGTCGTATTGGCACATCTGGGAAAACCCGAATCTGAAAGTTTCCAGGTTTTTCCCACCCAAAGAAAAGTTCAAGTCCCTGCCCAGCCCCCACTAGCAATTTCCTACAGTAGTAAACATGCCAGGTCTGAAGGCCTAATACAAAAGATGGCTGCCAGGCCTGACAGAGAATTGCATTCTATTTATGAAATTCTCTTCCTGGAATGGCTTTAGAGGCACCAACATTAGCATCATTTCATTGCCAGGTGAAAAATATCTTTCTTTCACTTTCCCATGCATCTAATTTGATTTTTAATTATATCAAAATTGTATTTGATTCCCTATGTTTTAGGTTTTGAATCATCAACCTGCCTAATTTATGTGGTGTTTTTTATTTTACATTTTATTTGATTTTATTCTATGCATTTTTTATTGGAACCGGACTTGTATGGTAAACCACCCAGGCAGCTTCAGCTTTTAGAATATTTAAAAAATGCAAATGAATAAATAAACAGCAGTAAAGGCCCTGACCATTATCAGTTTAAAAGCTTGTTCATTCGTTCTTGCTTTTAAAATGTGTAGTTCCGTCAAAAAGACACTAGAGAATTGTGCCTGTTATTGCAGTAGCTTTCAAGAAAAACATATAACAGATTAAAAACCAAAGAAGAAAGACAGATTATATCTAAAGACACGTTTCTGACTAGCATGCAATTAAGATATTTGTGATGGGGATAAATCTACTTCCTAAATTTGATTGCTAAACCTGCTCAGTATGTTGGTTTATCAGGCTTACCTTATATATTTTTTCCCTCTTCAAAATATTCCATTTCTTTGGTGCCAAATGCAGTTTATTTTGAAATCTAACTAAATTTCCCCAGAAACAGAAATAATCCTCTTATCTTTGAAAAATACCACCTAAGCCTGTTGTCAGTTTCCCATCTATATATAATTTCTTTCTTAATACTGTGAATTTTCCCGCCTTTAAAAACAATGAAGAGGGAGGAGGAAAATGCAAGAAAGGAAAGCCTTGTTGATGTGAATATTTGCATTTTCCAATATACCAGGAAATGACTACATGCAGAAAGAAAGAAATAGGATTTACATGTAATGAAAATCAAAGGAAACATCGTGCTCCTTTGATGCTGACAGCTTAGCTGTGATGATCTCAAGCTAAGATTTCACATCTCTGGATTAAAATGGAGCAACAATATGATTTTATAAATATTTGCCTCACAGTAAATGCATGCAGCAAGATTCAAAATTACTATGGCTGGTTGCACAGCCAGCTAGAGGTCTAGACTGGATTTGACATTTGTGGCCACTGAAAGTCAAATGTGGCTCTAGGTTCTGCATCTGTTTACCTTCTCAATAAGCAGCTGAGTTGGAAGATCATTTAAAAGCAGTTTATTAGGGTACCCTGATAAAGTGGGGTCTCTCTATGTAAAAGGAAGAAAGAACCTCACACCAGGTGTGGGTTCTAAATTTTTTTACTACCGGTTCTGTGGGCGTGGCTTATTTTGTGGGTGTGGCTTGGAGGTCATGTTACTATGTGGGCGTGGCTAGCTGGTCAGAGTCATTTCTGGAAGGTCCTCACACATACGATCAGTCCTCGCACTTACGACCCGACTCATTTGTTTGCTTTTAACACTGATCAGCTGTAGGACAGCCCTTTGGAGCTCAGCAGCAAGAGTTTAAACAGTTTTTTTCCCTCTAGTCATCAGCTGGGACTCAGGAGGCAGCAATAGATTTGGGGTGGGACCAAATAAAAGGTAAGAATAACGTGGGTGGGGGTGGGTGGGAGGGCGGGGGGGAGAACCGGTTCGGTGATGTCATATCATCACCGCTACCGGCTCGGCCGAACTGGACCGAACCGGGAGGAACCCACCACTGCCTCACACCCCATGTTTCCCTCCTTTTTATAGTTAACACAACAAAAGAAAATGCAAGAGGAAAGTTGATTGGACAGAATAAAAGTAGCCTTCCTTTGCATAGGAAATCAGTTAAATGTAGTCAAACATGTTACATATTTGCATCCAATAGTATCACACATGTTCATTAAAATGAAGTCTGACATCAGAAGGGGCGTAATTGTAAGGAAAAAGGTTGTTTGGAGTTCACAGAAAGAAATAAACCAGACCTCCAAGTAACAACAACTAACAAACTTTTCTTATCTGGAGCTAGTCTCCAGCTTGTTTATCAGTTTACGAATGTTAGAAGCTAATAAATCTGAACATCATTTTAAAAGAGAGAAAATAAATCAATTAAAATACAAGGTAACTATGTTAGTTAACAAATAACAAAACCCATCTCATTTGCCCCTCACCACCTATCAAAAGGATATGGTGACTCAGTGGCTAAGATGCTGAGCTAGTTGATTGAAAGGTTGGCAGTTCAGTGGTTCGAATCCCTAGTGCCGCATAACGGGGTGAGCTCCTGTTACTTGTCCCAGCTACTGCCAACCTAGAAGTTCAAAAGCACATAAAAAATGCAAGTAGAAAAGTAGGGATCACTTCAGTGGGAAGGTAACAGCGTTCCGTGCATCTTTGGCGTTTAGTCATGCCAGCTGCATGACCACGGAGATGTCTTCGGACAGCATTGGCTCTTTGGCTTTGAAACGGAGATGAGCACTGCCCCCTAGAGTCGGGAACGACTAGCACATATGTGCACGGGGAACTTTTACCCTTACCTTTTTACCTATCAAGGACCTGAGATAGGTAAGTGTTGTTATTTAATGACATTAAAAGTATTGTCGCAGGATGTAAGCAGTTTCAAGCAACGCTCGACTGACTTGACTATTGATTTCTATTATTGTTATAGGCACAACAGTGTGAAATCACCCCTCCTAGCTGTTTAGCTGGCGTTGACCTACATACACATTGAGTTCTTCCCAAGATTCTAGGATGTTGTAAAGTAGCAACATGTTATATGTGTGAATCCAAGCAGTGTGGCCTTTTTAAACATATGACACCATCTTTGTTGACCCAGGTAATAAATGATCTGATACAGGATACTCTTTTGTTTCTGTTTTTTTCCCCACCAAATTAAATGGCTTGATGGATAAACCTGATCTGGTTATTCCCTAATACTATTTGGCATCAGGGATGAAATGTAAAATTCGTTACTACTGGTTCTGTGGGTGTGGCTTGGTGGGGGGGTTAATGTGACTGGGTGGGCATGACCAACATTTTTTTTTTAAACTTTTCAAAGCATTTTTTCTAATGCTTTGAGAAGCCACTGCCAATCAGGCAACTCAACTGGGATCGTCAGAGAGGCATTTTAAAAAATACCTCTCTGCTGATTAGGCAACTCAGCTGGGAGTTGCCAGAGACTTTTCAAAGCATTTTTTACCACCTCTTCGGCCAAGAGGTTATAGAAAAAAAATGCTTTGAAAAGCCTCTGATGATCCCAGCTGAGCCGCGCAATCATCAGAGGCTTTTTTTTTTTTAACTTTTAAAAGCATTTTTTCTTCGGAAGAGGTTGTAGAAATTATGCTTTTAAAAGTAAAAAAAAAAAAAAGCCTGTGATGATCATGCAGCTCAGCTGGGCATGGTGTGTGGGGGGACGCAGGGATTTTTGCTACTGGTTCTCCGAACCACCCACCGCCATCGCTACCGGATCGGGTGATCCGGTCTGAACTGGGTGCATTTCACCCCTGTTTGGCATGTATGACCCTTCTGGTAGAATATGCTACTGTCGGCATAGCTCTCAATATCATCAGAGTCCCTCCCCCATGATAAGGGGGCATTCATGGAAGAGATGGTGATGACAATAGCTGGTTGCATAGTCAGCAAGATGTTTAGACTGGAATTAACATCTATTGAGCCCTTCCCAAGGTTATGCAAATGTTTTTTTGATGATGTTAGACGTATGGTCACATAATGCAAGATATTCCAAGTAAAGCTGCCTTTTGCAATTGACTGTTGACTTTGTCAATTACAATCAGTGGTGGGTTGCCTCTGGTTTGGACCGGTTCGCAAGAACTGGTAGTAAAACCGGTGGGAGGCTCCGCCCACTGATCCGGACGTCATCAAAGTTGATCTGTGCATGAATGATACAAATTGGTAGTAAAGGTAAGTAGAACCCACGCCTGATTACAATGGTGTTCAAGTGCTGCTCCAGAAGTTTTGGGATTGCACCCAAGGTGCCTATTACCATTGGTAGTATCTGCTTTCTTTTGACACAGTCATTCTATTTTCAGGACTTCATCTTTTTCCCTGCCCAGTTCATTCTCTTTTATTCAGCTGTCTCCAGATACTGCCATGTCCACTATATAGACTTTTTTTGTCTTTCCTATTGATGATTGGTAAAACTGGGCTATTAAGTGGCAGGTGCTTATTGTTTTGAATTCTAAATTCCCAGAGTACTTTAACTTCTTCATTTTTATTATTTTGTCTGTTTTGTGGTCCCACCAGTTCTTGCTTGCAGACAAATGGTATTTCTTGCAGATATTCCTGAGCACCCATTATTACTACTTATTATAATTATAATTTGGATAAGCTGCAATTTTAAATGTCATTGTTTATAGTACGGTTTACATTATGCATATTGTTGCTGATTTGATATAATTTATGATGAACTGGGGATGTTAATACAGCTTGAAGTCAATCCACTGGGTGTTGTCTCAGCCTAATTTTTTCCCCATTTTTCTTATCTTTGCTTATAGTTGTTTTTCCCCCTCTGTTGAGCACAAATAACTGGAAATATAATTGTTCTGTCTAACTAGTTGTATCAGTAAAACTGTCTAACCAGACTAGGATAAAGAAATATGTTTGGCAAAGGTTTTATTCTGCAGCAATTCAGAGCAGAGGGAGGAAGCAAATCTGGCAAGTGAAAAACCTGGCTGATGTCAACCAAAATTACATATAAGCCCACTAAATCTTTCACTGTTGGTCTTATTTATCCCCTGAATTCCACAGTTTTTTCCCCATTAAATGAGATGGTTTATGACACTGATAAGACAAACACAAGGGATCAGTAAATGGATTCCCTTGAGTAATTACAGCTGTCAACAATGGCTATGCTTATAAAACAATTGCTAACTGAACTCAGCATCTGCTCATTATGTATCAGCACAGCGAAAATAACTCGGCATGAACTCCTACTTTTGCCAGTGATAGATCACCCGGGCAAGCGGCAGTAAATTGAGAAGATTTTAATGGATCAAAGGCCTGCCACTCAATTATGTACTTGGAATTTTCCAAATGTACAGTTCTTTGCAAGTCTGATACTGAAAGAGCTGGAGCATGGCACATCAATGAGGTCACCACATTTACACAGGATCAGAAAACATGAGAAACCCCAGCAAATGTGACCTTTCTCTCAACAGGGATGAATAGCATATATCATGTTGCTAAATATCTTTTTAAGCCCTCCCAATCTCTCTTTGTCACCTAGCCACACTCAATTGCATTTTGATCAAAACGAAATCCCTTCCATTTGATCCTCACAACTATTCTATGCCATAGTTTAGACTGAATAGAAAATATAAGAGTCAGAGTTACTGGGGCACTGATGGGACAAAGGGCAATAGACATGAAATGGACAGAACCATTCTCATTCATTTATAGCTAGATATCATGTCAATATTTTAAACTGAAGTTTCTATGAGCATAGAATTCGTGTTCCATCTTACACAGCACCAGCCTAAGAATTTTTACTCAAATCACTTGGAATTCAGTAGGGTTACTTCAGTAGCCGAAGCTGAAGGCCTGCTCTCTAAATAACAAGAGTTGCTTGGGTAACTGAGGTGACTGAAAAACAAACAAATTTTTTAAAATTAAAATATACTGATATAAACATTCATATTATTTCATAGGAGGAACGCAATGGCTCATTGGTAAAGACACTGAGCTTGTCAGTTGGAAAGAGACTGCCCAATAGGGTGAGCTCCGATTACTTATCTTGGCTCCTGCCCACCTAGCAGTTTGAAAGCATGCAAATGCAAGTAGATAAATAGGTACCACTTCAATGTGGTAGTTATGGGGAAGGATATTGCAAAATCTCCATTCCCACCCCACTCTGGGGCCAGCCAGAGGTGGTATTTGGCGATTCTCCAAACTGCTTAAAATTTCCGCTACCGGTTCTCCAGAACCTGTCAGAACCTGCTGGATTTCACCCCTGACTTCAAGGAACACATTCCACTAGTCTTTATTTCAAGCAACAGTATATTTTGCCTTGTTTATTCACACCATTTCTTTTTATATCTACACATAGTGAAAAGGCTGACGCCTGTACATATCACCAAAGATGAGGTGTTAAGATGACAGAAGATGTTCTGAATTCTATCCTGGGAGGCAGCTGTCTTTCTCCAATCTTATTTCAAATTCTACTGATGAGTAGCAGCACAGCGTATAGTCTGGTCTATCCACAGCATTTGTCCTCTCTGTAATATAATAGTGTTTTCAAAAGGGAATTATATTTGTTCTTTCATAATGACATATATTTTCCATTGAATTATATGTTTCCTGTGTAAAGAAAAAACAAAACCCAGATTTTGAATTTAAATTACAATTTTCTTGCAGTTATGCAAACATATGGATCTTCACATACTTGTTAATCATTTAAATAAACTTATTGTGTCATATTTCTGTTATTTATTCACATAATAATCCCATGATATATAGGACTGTCTTTTTCTTTTAAAGAAAAGATTCTACTGAAAATGAGAGACTAGTATTATCCAAAGACATCCTAGAAGTAGAGAATGCCCTTGTGGAAGATCCAAGATGATCTTTAACACTCCTGTGCTACAGTCAAGTGACAATCAACCAATAGTTTAGAGGAACTTCAATGTACACAATCGGAGACCTTCCAAGCTAAAGACAGCAGATAAATAATGAATAGCAACCTCCCTTTGTCAGTCCAGCTGGCCAGCTCCCATCATTCTTGTATGATGCTGTCTTATGGGAAAAAATTATCTTGAAAATTTGCTGTCAGAAAGAAGAATATTCCCCCTATAATCGAAGTATGTAGGAACTTCTACTTCATGAACAGAAGCTTCCTGGCCATCTTCCTTTTGGCATAGGAATAGTGGAAATTTGAATTTGAATCTCAAGCTTGTTTGCACGCATTCCGTTTTCTCATTCTGGCCTTCAATTTCTTTGTATATACTGAGAGAATAACAGAGTTGGAAGGGACCTTGAAGGTCTTCTAGCCCAAATCCCTGATCAAGCAGGATATTTTATACCATTCCAGAGAAGTGGCTGTCCAGTCTCTTCTTAAAAGGCTCAATTGTTGGAGCATCCATAACTTCTGAAGGCAAGCCATTCTACTGGTTAATTGTTCTCACTGTTAGGAAATTTCTCCTTAGTGCTAGGTTGATTCTCTCCTTGAATATTTTCCAACCATTGCTTCATGTCTTGCCTTCTGGTGCTTTGGAATATAGACTGACCTCCCTCTTATTTGTGGCAGCCCCTCAAATATTGGAACAATGCTATCATATCACCCCTAGCCCTTCTTTTCACTTTCCTTTTAAAATATAATCAAATGGAATTAAAATATAATAGGATTCTTAGAGCCTAGACATGGGAATGGATGTTTTCCAATCACCATGGAACAAGGAGAGATAGACCCTCCATTTGTATCTCATGAACTGGTCACCAGCTACCCCTTAAATCAGAAGCACAAAGGCAACAATGTGTATTAACACATTCACTGATTTTTTTTAAAAAAATGTGTGGGGTATGGAGTAAAGTACATATCCATTCAGTTTCCAAAAGCCTAAATCCTGATCCTTTTTTTCTCGCAATAAACCCAGGAAATGAGACTATGAGGAGCTCATTTTCTTGGTTATTATTACACACTTGGCATGAGTTCTTGATCTTACTGATGCAGTATTGTCAAGAATTTGGAGAGCATAACCCAAAGCTTACTGGATGGATTTACAGGGGAGTGTTCCAACAAAATGTGGCCACAGAAGAGCTTTGTAGATCTTTCTCTTGGTCATTTCTTTAAAATTATTGATCCCTGGATATTGAGTCTGGAAATAATGATAGACTTATATGAGTTTTATTGTTGTCTCCAAGTATACTAAACCCTTGTTCCTACCACATAGCATACTTTCACCTTCACATGAGTAGGCTGAATACCTCCCTAAGCCTTTTCTATTTTGTTTTTCTCCTGAAAAATTTATATTCTATTTCCCTGTTTCATAATATCCCAGTGTGGAAGAAATCACACTCAAAGATGAAAACAGAAAGACAGAAAATGGGTCAAATCCCAATATTTTTTACTGACTATTTCTGAATGACTGCCACTTACATGGTACTTAAAAAAGCAAAACAGAAGAAAAAAAAAATCCAGCCCTGACAATATTCCTAAAATTGTTGAGAAACATTACTTTAACCTGCTTTAACAAGGCGCTAGCAAGTGAAGCAATCTCCATGCTTTCCTCCAACTCTCAGATATTCTTTAGAAGCTTTTTTTCAGCCCTAACTAGGCGCTAGCCGAGTGAAGCGATCTCCCTGTGCTTTGCCTGCTTTTCTCATTGCTGCTTCTTCTCAGCTGTGCCTTAGAAGCTGTTTTTTATCCCCAAGGAGGGGATAAAAAACCAGTAAACTAATGTGCTGAAGCTGACCAGACTAAGGACCCTAGCCTGATGAATACCTGGTAGGCAGATCCCCCCCCCCCATTTTCCCCCCCCAAAACTAAACTTTGTCTTATACTCTGATGCGTCTTATATTCTGAAAAATACGGTACATGTTAAACTGTGGATAACAGCCTTGTGTTCATGATTCAATAAAATAAAAATTAAAGTAAAGTATCTTTCACTGTCTCCCCCTCCCTGTCTTATTTCCACAGACATATGTCCAATCTACATGAAGACATATTCCTTGATGAGAGAGCACAGGAAAGCTGGGGGCAATCATTAGAAAGATTATCTCAACCCAGGTGGTGAAAGTTTGGGAAAAAGCATCCCAAGGAGATTTAGCTTTAATTAAGTTAACACAGGCTAGCATTGATACTTACTGAAATCTGCACTGATCTTCATTCTTTGGTGTTGGCAGCTACATGGGGTTTGCTGTCTACATGTAGTATCAGTTTTGGCATGAAAATGTTCAGGATCTCAGATCTCCTAGAATTTTTCTAAGATGCACATTTTTATAATGTCTAGAATGTTTCATTTATATATACTTTTAAAGAAAATGAACAAGATATGTAATTATATGTGTGGGGATATTTTAATGTGATTTATTCCCCTTCCATGACAAATATTTGTCATAAGAATATTTATCTCCCACCAGAAATACCTTTTTGTTGAACGAAGAGGACTGCAAGCCAAAGTTGCTTTATTTATTTTATTTTTCCCTCCATCTTGAGGAAATCTATTTTTTCAATTCCTTTGTTAAAATCACATAAAGTATTTTCATGATGGTCTGGAGTGTGATTTGTAGGACCATCAGCTATCTTGCTAACCACTGAAAGTGATGAAACTGCCCAATATTACTTTTAAAAACATTTCCCAGATTTAAGTTAGTTCCATCCAGTTTCTGTTTAGCCATACAAAAGATCTCCCACGTTTTCCAGCCATCTTTAAGTAGTGAAGAACTCTAGTATTTTGTATCTTGTGGATATGACTTTTAACGTGCCTTGCTAAACACTTAAACTATAAAACTCTCAGAACTAGGGGTCTAAGCACAGAGAAGCTCTTCCTACAGTTAATGTCTATGAACCAATGGTGGATTGCTACCGGTTCGCCCCGATTTGGGCGAACCAGTAGCAGTGGCGATGGGTGGCTCCTCCCACCCACCCGGATGTCATCAAATATGATCTGTGCATGCGCAGAAGTGGTCTGTACGCGAGTGAAGCAAGCGCGTGTGTGTGAGTGAACTAGTAGCAAAGGTAAGTGAAACCCACCCCTGCTATGAACAGTTGTAATGCTGCACAGAATTGAATAGTGTTCATTCTGGCCCTGGATTGCTTTGAATCAATCTGGAGTAGGACATAATACTATTCAGGATACCAATACCAAACCTTTTATTGACTATGTTTTAGTAAACTATTATTTGGGAAACCGCCACTTCTTTTGTGTTGGTTCAAATGACTTGAGACAAATAAGACTTGAGATAGCAAAATATCCTGGAAAACCAATAATATAAATGCATGCTGTTGTAATATATACAGTGCATTCAGAAAGTATTCAGATTTTCTTCTAAAATTTTGTTTTCACTTTGTCATTATGGGGTGCTGAGTGTAGATTAATGAGAAAAAAAAAAGAATTTCAACAACTGTAGAATCAGCATAACAGAATTGACAAAAGTGAAGAGGGTCTGAATATTTTCTGAATGCACAGTATATAAGTCATAATGTATATATGCATGTGCTTAGATGTTGTTCTGACCTAGACTCCCTTAACAAGCAGGAGAAAGGAATTGGTCCCAGCAAAACTTCTTTTATTTACACGACTGTGAATTATGTTCATTCACAGTCAGCAAGGTTTGTCCAAACAGTGTTTCAAAGCAATATTTCTCAACACATCTTATCTCATTTGGCAAGCTGCCACATAACTTGTTTTCAAACGCAGTACAAGGCAAAACTTGGCACAGAGTCTCTCAGAGTCACAGAATGAATGAATTGTTTCCTGCAAAAGCCCACTCCTTGTTTGCTCCTCTTTTATTTCCTATGGGAGGGGCCAATCACCTCCCAGGTGTGGCTTTACTCCTGAGTTGACCCTGCTTTCTGAGTTGTTCTTGTCTTCCGGCAACTCTGTGCATACACACACTGGGAACAGGCTCCAGCTGTTCCTCTGCCTCACTGCTGTTTAACTCCCTCTCTGCCTCTGATGCAGAGCCCTCGTCTAAGCTTTTCCCAGTCCCCAGGACTGGCCCAAGTTCCTCCCCAACCTCTACACTGTCTGACTCTGCTGCCAGCTCTGCTGGCCACCGGCAGGCCACAACAGATGGAGAAAGAGAAAGAGGTGGACAAGATGCTTACAAGTGAAGCTATAGCAACACGTTATTAACATTGGATTTGCTGACAAACATAGATTCATGACACCTGGCTGAAAATACATATATTTCTTGACCATGTCAAATATAGTTCTTATTTAAACATCCTTCTCTTATACTGTGACAAAAAGCAGTCATTTTAGAGGGAAACGTCTCTTTTCAGATTCCTGCAGTTTGCAAGAACTGTTTTAGATTTGTGTGTCAGTTATCTGTATTACCAGTGGGGAAGAAACAAAGCAAAGCAAAGCAAAGCAAAGCAAAAAGAACAAAATGTCATGTTGGAGTTTTCAGTGAGTGTTGATTGTGTCCTTGTCTAGCAAAGTACCGCACTGTATTTTTGCAAGTTGTAACACCATATTTATTTTGCTGTCATTCTGTGAAATTAACCTTACAGGATATACAAAATCTTGGCTCATAAATTATTTCTAAAAATATTCCAGCCACATACTGATATAAATATGGAAAGGAGCTTACCTATAATGAGCTTCTGAATCCTGCACTTACCACACACTGTACCTATGAGAAGAGGTGGTTGTATTTCCAAACCCTTTAATTCATACTTAAATGCCCAGTTTCTTATCTTACATTGTATTAACCTTTGTCTCACTTTGCTTGGCAATAAAATAGTAACTAGTTG